ATATATATATATATATATATATATATATATATATATATATATATATATATATATATATATATATATATATATAAATTATTTAATATCTATATTTCTAAAATATTTTGTAAATATTATGTGCTATCTGGAATATATATTTATTGTTTCATATATTGTCCAATGTTTAAATCTCTTTTCCTTCCCAAATTGCAAAACGCAGCGCTTGAAAGACGAGACTGATGAGAAATGATGTAGCTTTGCGCGATAAGATCGCCGATCGACGATTGTGGACATTAGGTCTGTTCTTTTGCCTGCATTGCTGCACTGGTGCAATAAGTAAGAGTGAGACAAATATATATTTGTCTCACTCTAACTTATTGCACAGACAGCAGTGCAGAGCGAAAGAACAGACCAATTGGCTTATGGAGGATTCGCACTGCGTCCGATGTCCAGTATATGACGTAGATATCCAATAAGAAAACAGCTTTCTAATGGAGAATTGAATTCTCTATTAGAAAGCTGTTCTCCTATTGGCTATCGAATGTCATACGTCGGACGCGGTATGAACCCTGCATTAGTAGTTTTATGTCAACGAAAAATGGACATAGGGGCGCTGCAAATCAGCCAACTTTCCTATCATGCTAAATGCAGGCATGGTCACTCTCATTCTTCTCTCTGCTCGCGTGACAAGATGGTAATTGATCGTAGCACTGTAACATTCGCCGTTTTAATCGCGCAGTTACTCCGCGTTGTTGTTTTGAGGTTAACCTTCCCACGTGTTTCATCGCAAACACATGCCTGTCCTCGCTTTTTTTTTTTTTTTTTTTTTCCCCAAGAACCGGTCGAAATCGTTTCTCCGTCGATTGAATCGATTTCAGTTCACCGATATGACTGTATTTTTGTCTCTTTGCCACAGACAGATGAGGTCAACCCGAAGGCTTATCCGTTGGCGGACGCCACGCTCACCGCGAAGATATTGAATCTCGTTCAGCAAGCGATGAATTACAAGCAATTGCGAAAGGGAGCGAACGAGGCGACCAAGACATTGAATCGAGGCCTGTCCGAATTCATTGTGATGGCTGCAGACGCGGAACCGTTGGAGATTTTGTTGCATCTACCGTTGTTGTGCGAAGACAAAAACGTGCCCTACGTATTCGTGCGAAGCAAGCAGGCCCTCGGACGAGCCTGCGGAGTCTCCAGGCCAGTGGTAGCCTGTTCCATAACAGTCAACGAAGGCTCGCAATTAAAGCCGCAGATTAATGCTATACAGCAGGAGATAGAGCGGCTCTTAGTCTAAACCGGCATCGGTACCTGATTTACATACCTCATCTCTCGTAAGAGCGTCGATTTTAATCGTCGTTAACATAAACATCAACTTGTGAATGAAAACACAATTCTCACAGAATCATGCAATCTTTTGTATCTCATATATAAAGCTTGAATATTAATAAAAAAAAAGAGAAAAACAGAATGCAACCAACCAAGTTTGTGTCTGGTAGCTGTGTTTAGAGAGAATTCATGTAGAATATGTGTATTGTGAGAGTTAGTACCTCCTGTCAAAAGTATAAGGAATTAGAAGCGAAAAATAAAATTTTAGTTTGAGGAATAATAGAGCCGTAAGCTTCAGAAGTGACATAACTTGTGTTTCCAGTAAAAATGTTGGAAATTAATACATCTCAGAGAGATGCTGAACATGCAAACATTTAATGTGTATTTTATGGTGCTGTTGTAACCACAACATATTTAAAGTACATTGTTTTAAGAAACACTATATTTTGAATAAAAACATTTACTTTTAATTACTACCAGAAATCGCAGATTATTACATTTTCTTGCCAGCAAATAAGCAGTAATTTTTGTGATATCAGATATCTTCTATATATTGACAAAATTCTTATATGAGAACACATCTTTACATATACTTGTGCTATAATTTTTAATTTTCTATTCAATCATTATGCAGACAGTATGCTAAGATATGTCTATCTGGGACTAGATACTTAGAAGTTTATACATTGCGTCAGTTTATGTATTTCCCTCGAATTCTACGTGACGTCGATTCAAATGTTGAAACTTGTTTTTTTACACAGCCTAAACAGCATATCCGCGTGGCGAATCTTGATTAGAGGCCACTGGCTGAGAAGTTTCTGCTCTTAGCTCGACAAATGTATTACACGGAGCGCAGTATGTGCTGTTCATCGGAACTGGTGGACCTGGTAAACGCGGTCGGACGAAATCTAACAAGAGTTCGCAGAAAACGCGTCGCATTTGTCGACGCTGAATTTTCTGATATGCTTGACGAAGACAATGGAAGCGAAGAGCATATCCTACATCTACACGTGCCAAAAGGAAAAGCTCGATCGAGCGTGTTGTATATTTATTTGGTATAAGCGTGATTTTTATCGATATTTGTCCTATTTCGCGAGAAGAAAATTCCAGATATCGAGTGCTCATTAACGAACATGAATTAAAAATCGAACGTATATTTGATGATACTATTGGCTCGCTCTTTCATGATATAATCGAAATCCATCATGTAGTATTGCATACAACATACATACGCACACATACGTGCGCTACAGGACGTAAACTCATATATAAATTAATGAGATAAAACAATATTCTCGTTAATATAATTATGTTAATATAAATATCACAGGCACGTTTCTAGAGGAATGTACTGATACAGGGAGGGGAACAAAGCGTTGGTTAAATAAAAAGAAATTATATTAGCAAAATAAACGGAACGAAGTACACAGAGAAGATCACTATTGAAAAGAAGGGTACAGTGTTTTGTACACCAACAACCAATTAATATGCCATTGGGATTTCTGAGACGCACCTAAGCTTCGCCGGAACTTCTCTTCTTGCTGACGCTGCGCCTCGTTATTGGGAAAATCTTGGAACCACGTTTTCAGCTGCTGCGCCAGCTCGTTCTCGCTCGCAAATACCAAACTGTTCTCGTTATTTTTCACCAGTTCCGATAAACTGTGAACAAAATGAAAAAATATAAAACGATAAAATCTCCTGCGGTAAGAGTAGCGTATGTGTAAACTGTATTCATTCGATGTACCAGTTGAAGTCGTACGCGCAGACTGGCAAGCAACAACCGAACATATCGAGCACCTTCATCGGTAGATCCAGTCCGCTGGACGAGATATGAAGACATACGCCTAAGTCTGCACTGGCTGTTTTAAGAATGAATGATATTCAAACTTCGAACTGGCTCTAAGGTTACAAAAAATCAAGCAAAATTATTGAGAGTCTATAAGAACCCCGTGCGTTAGGTTGATATACGCTTTATTGCATTGTATCAATATACATTGCTCAAGAAGCATATATTTAAAGCTACAAATATGCCGTAACAAACGTTCCGATTCTCATCGAGACTTTCTTCGGTCCAATGCACGGTTCTTGTAGACACTTAATATAATTTTGTTTGATATTTAAACTCTCTTAAGATATTTCAATTCATAAGTTCCTCAAACAGAACAAAAAAATACGATAATGTCAAAGTGACTAAAAAAAAATTCTTCCATCACCATTCAATAATTTTATCGCTATTTTGATATCATCGTGATTTTTGTTCTATTCGGCTTGATCTCACTATTGCGAAACTCTGGATTGATGAAGTCAGAAGCGAGAAAACACATGCTGAAAGTTCTTCCGTGTCATTTTCAAATAAACAGATATTTGGATCAAAAAAGATTGCTACAGAGTGATACTCTCTTTTGACGTCATCAATCCAGGGTTCTGCAGCAGTGAAAGCAGGAGAACAAAATGAAAATGCAAATGAACAAAATCGTGATAGCAAACGAAAGATGATACCTAATATCTTCGGATAATCCTCATTTTCGAGCCACGGTGTCACCACTTTAACGTGCCTCCAATTTTTCAGATTAATGATGGCGATATAGAAGTCCTTTAACGGCCCTTTACCCGTTATCGCGCAAATTAAGTCTGGCAAATTTAACTCGTTGCTTTCACACGCATTCTCGTATTCTGCAAAAACAATAGCTACTCCATGAAACAATGAATTCTCTACAATATTATTTTGTATTCGTTGTATTTGAGACGACGCAATTGCAGCAGATAAACGAACCTTGTAATGCGTTCAACAGTATGGAGAAATCCTCATCCTCGGTCCAACTAGTACTCGATACGATGAAGCCAGGTCTTTTTGGTGATAAATGCACTCCATTCGATGAACACTCGGTAAGAATAGTTGAGTCTTTCCTAGGTCCTTTAAATGCATCATACTTTTCAGCTAACTTCAGCAGAAATTCATGTTTCTCTGCCAAAGATATTGGACGGAATTGCTCTCCTGGTCTGTCATACAAAACACAAACCCTGTAATGAAAATAAGATCTTATCAATGAGCAAGTCATTTATTCTTGAAAAATAAATGAGACATTCTTGTCTGCAGCTGAATGGTAAATAAAACTACTACTAAATGAGACATTCTTCAAAAGAACATACAGAAAAGGTACTAATTGATCTTTCTATATACAGGAGAGGTACTAATTAATCTATGACAAAACTTTCATTATTCAGCTCATGCAACTCTCAAATAAATGTCAAATTTCTTATATTAAGTATCTTGTAAGAAAACATAGATAATACTAACTTAACACCCAATTTCTCTTTCAAATCTTGTTGCATTGCATTGCTAACACAAAAATTTATTCCTGCCCTGCGTCCAAATGTCATCTCAATAAATCTTGCTAATTTAACTAGAGTATGATTCTTTCCTAAGCTCAGTGCCATAATTGAATAAGCATAATTGTGCCAATCAATTATAAACTGTACTTCCATTAGGACGCAATAAAACCAGCATACTGGTATTGTTGGTATTGCAGGTGGATTCTGCATTATTAAGGAATGAGGTATAGGTCTGCGAAGCAATAGCCAAAAAAGATCGACAGTCTGCCACAATACTTTGACTATGTAACTCAAAAGACGTGGTAGTCCTACAAATATTAAATATATTATTAATATACATATACTAATGGATACAAGTGCATAAAGTATCCAATTCATACTATTTTGTAATTCAGGTGGCGGTTGCAAATAATACACCGATATGTGTGCGTTCTCGCTGATTTCCTGCAACGGCGGCGAGCCAGGGTAACCTATAATGTTCACTGTATAGCCTTGTTTGGCAAAGGAAATCGCGTGGTACTGCATTCTCGGACTCCTGCCGACATCGCCAAGTACCACCACGCAAATATTCTTGCTGCATTTGAATCGCCGCAGGTACAATTTACGCACGACGAGGAAAATTGACAGAAGTGTCAGCGTCAAGCAGAACGCGACCATCAACATTTTCGCCAAAGAATGAAAACCAGAGAGAAGAAGGAGAGGGGTCAAGGCCGATTTTAGTTGATCCTGGGTCTTTCTGTTCCTGCACTGCTGAATTAGTGTAATAAGTTAGAGTGAGACAAATATATTTTTTCTCGCTCTAAAGCCAGCGGCACACGATGCTTGTTTTCATGCTGGATTGCTTGCTGAATGGAAATACTCTGTTTTGATTGGTGCATTTCTGAAAATGGACCAATCAGAATAGAATATTTCCATCCAGCAAGCAATCCAGCACGAAAACAAGCATCGTGTGCCGCTGACTTAACTTATTGCACCAGTTCAGCAGTGCAGAAATGAACCTCCTGTTTCAACTGAATGGTTACAGCGCCTCTAACCAACCGTGCACATAACTACGTAGCCAATGTGTACCAATTGTCTCAATAAAGAAGTAATGTCCACAATTTTTTATGTTATCTAACAGACAGAGAGACAAAGACAGATAATCAACACTATCTGTTTTTGTCTCACCACAGGCGAGAACAGATAGTGTTGATTATCTGTCTTTGTCTAACTAACGTCAAAAATCGTGGACATTACTTCTTTACCCACTGAGACAATTCGTGCATATTGGCTACGTAGTTTATATGCATGGTTGGTTAAAGGCGCTGTAACCATTCAGCTGAAACAGGATCAGCTAAAACCGGCCCATAACCCTTCTCTTTCTTCTCTCTGCTTTAAGCTTTAAAAAATTGACCAATCATAGTCGACTTATAGAAGAATAATCAATCGTGATTGGTCAATTTCTTACAGCTTAAAGCCATAAACTACACCTATTGTAGATCGGGACTAATTGATCCTTCCTTCAATATATGGCTCCAGGCACATCTACCCCAACGCCATCTACTTCATGGGATAATTGATGCATTCCAAAAATTAGCTGCATCACTGCTCTCTGTAGGCGATGAAACGCAATATCAAAAAGGCGGGAAGGCGCAGAGGAAGGCAGGCCATCATGGTGTCGCATCGTCGAGAGATAAACGGCGGTTATCATGTATATCTCGCAAAACGTTTGTATTACATCGTGACACGAGGACAGTTTGTGACGCAATAGGTATACTCACCATTTCTCTCATTATCCGTAAACAATTAATGTATTGCTGAGATACGTTTAATGTTACTTTCATGATTAACGTATGCCAGTCTGTTGACGAAACATGAGAGATATCAAACAATACTTCGCCAACGGTGCGAAGATTGATAAGATCATCAATTCCGTCGACAACGTGAAACGTATGGAAGAGGAACAAGAAAACAGCTCAGTTGCGAAAGAAGGTCGCAAACGCAAACGCGTCAAGATCCGCATATCGCGCGCTGGTTCCAAGGAGGGGACATGCGATATAATTGAGAACAAGAACGATCTAATTGACAAAACTCCAAGTCCATTTGCCAAAACGGACGACAACAGAAGAACTTCACAGAGTGAAACACCCAAGTCTCACATTGCTAGCTCTAGTACAAAGCAGGATTCTGAAAAGGTATTAAATCAAGGATATGATCAGTCACATGTATTATTTTATTGTTATTATCACAATATTTATTGTCAAATAGAAGATAATTTTTATAAACATTTGAGTAAATTAGAGTTAACTTTACTGGAAAACATGCAAGTCCTAATAATTTTTAAGTGATTAGAATTTGAAGTAACAATTTTTTCATAAACCAAACTCTAGAAAAGGTTAAAAACAAGAGAATGTTTAGTAATATTTTCACTGAAAAATGCCAACTTCAGGTCAGGCAATTTTTTTATAAAGATATAACTAATTAGATCTTATTTTTAAGCTTACTTTGATGGTTGGAAATAAATCTAGAAATATGGAGAATGTCTCCCAAGATATAAACAGCAGAACAAGTAAGAATAAATTAGATGAACAGACTGTTATGGATTTAATTGATTCATCTAATGATATTCCAATGAAGAATGATGATGACTCTCATGAAAGTCTATCAGATGTGAAACTTTGTGATGACATTGGTACTCAGCGTGAAGAATCAAATGCTTTTCAAGTTCTGATGAGCCGTAGTAAACCGATACAATATAAGTTACCATTGCAACAATCTATTGAAGATGTCAAACTTAATGAGAAATCAAGTGATGCTAAAGAATTGAAATCTAAACATAAAGAGAGACTAATAACATTGGCTGATAAGAAGGGTTACTCAAAGAGGAAACTTGCTGATGCAGAAGAAAGCGAGAGAATAGAAAAAAGTATAGAGGACCGTGTAAAGCTCTTCAAACGTGATAATAGAAAGGATGATAGTACTGACTTATCGATAAAAAGTAACAGACAGCTGTCTGGAAGCTTGTTAGATTATTTTAGGTAATTATAATTAAAAAAATATTTATTATTATTTATTATTTATATATTTATTAATATATTATCATAATTAAAAAAATATCAAATTAATATTTGTTAAATTCTAATTAGAATTATGCTGATTTTATAATTTGAAAATCATGCAATATATATAATTGTCATCAATTTTTATCACACAGCAAATCACCCTTAGAATTAACAAATAAGGATAACATAAAATGTGTATCCACCTTCATTGTAAAAGCCGATGTACATAGAACCGAGACCGCCAGCATAGAACCTGTATTAAATCCGATTTCGAATAAGATTTATTCCATTAAGAAGTGTCCGAAAGCTGACATGGATCTCTCCGAAGTGGACGATATTCATGTCATAGCGTCTGAGAATCTGACTTCGCCATTAACTACCATACAAGAGAAACGGCATAAACCTCGCTGGTCTTTACGCATAAAACTACACTCTTCCGAGGGCAACGACGGTAAGAACGATAATTGTAATGTAAAATAATTAATATAGATATATTAAAATAAATTCAACTTTAATTCATTGTTAATTAATACAATACATATGATGTAAAATAAAGCAGGAGTCTCCCGATATTGATCGGTCGATGGCGATGACACATTTTTCACACTTTGATCGCTGATATTGACAGTCTAGTCAAATAATTGTTTAGTTCCGATATACTGCAGAACTGATATTCGTCATTTTACACTTAGATATCACTGACGACGAGCTGTTCTCGCCGAGAAGCAAATCGAAGTTTCATGCGGTCACGAACAAGCCTCCTCGAAAGCTCGCGAATACATACGTGGGAAATGATAAGATGTGGCCGAAGCATCACAATGAACATATCAAAAGAAAAGTACGAGACGAGGAGGAAAATGAGTCGTTCGGTAAGCAGAAAGATAGCAACGTTCAAACGAACGTTACCAGAGATTCTATCGTTGACAATAACAACGAGAACTCCGACGCATGTCCGTTAAGATCAGAAAAAGTTAGCAAAACGGAGAAGACCTTTGTCGTGTGTGAAACAGTTACAACGGTAACTGACGATTCCGAGTGCGAGATCATTAGTGAAAACGTATCGAAGAAGAAATCGAACGAGAAGCTGGCGCCGTTATTTATGAAACGACGTAAAATCGATCCGGCTGTCGTAGCAGCTAAACGCTTATTCCTACAATCAGACATAACCGATGTCGAGAACAAAACGGATAGAAAAACGAACAATGGCACACTCATCTTACCATTCCCTATAATCAGCCACATCACACAGTTGGAAAGTAATTGTCATTCAAACAGGCCGCAAATTCAGCATAAATTTCCCACAAAAGTCGAGAAGAAATATCTGCCTTCGATAGACATTGATGAGTACAAATGTATCGTTAATTATAACGAGACCTCGAAGGTGCCTGAAGCGATTGACAAGCCCGTGAAGGAGAGCTTCGATCGAGTGGTGTCGGAGATGGAGAAAAGTTGTCCGGAGGTACAGAAAATGTGGAAGACCGTATTGACGATCAAAGGCGAAACTGAGAAGAAGTCGCTGGAGCGGACGAGAGGAGGCAGGAGAACAAAGACTCTCGAGCGAAAAAAGCCGCTGACAGAGAGCGTGGAGGCAAATCAGTTGCACGATTGCGTCTGGACGTGCAAGTACAAGCCGATGAGCGCGCAAGAGGTAGTCGGGAACGAGGAAGCCGCGACTAAATTGAAAGAGTGGCTGAGTGGGTGGAGAACGTCCTTGACGAAAGAGGATTACAGCAGCGGCGACGAGTTCTACTCGTCGGATTCGTGCAGCAACTCGTACAATGAGAACAATCAGACAGCCGTGTTGTTGGGACCGCACGGCAGCGGGAAAAGCGCGAGTGTGTACGCGATAGCGGAGGAACTCGGCTACAGTGTACTCGAGGTAAACGCGTCCTCCAGACGCACTGGCAAGAGGATCTTGAAGGAATTGGAGGAGGCGACCAAGTCGCACAGAATCAAGAAGGACAAGTGCAAAGCTCCGTTCGAGCAAGTCGCGAGAGAGAACGATGCCCCGAAGATATTGCAAAACTCGTTAATCCTTCTGGAGGACATCGATCTTATCTTCGAGGAGGATGAGGGCTTCGTCTCGGCGGCATATCAACTGGCGTCGAATACTAAAAGACCGATCGTTATGACGTGTAGAGACATGTGCCCGCATCTGAGCAAAATGGCACCGCAGCAAAAGAAGATCTACTTTCAGCAAGTGAACGGCAACAGAGTGTCTGCTTTGTTGGAGTTGATCTCGCTGGCGGAAACGGGTTACAGACTGTCACACAATTTTCTAGTGGTGAGTTCTCGCAGGTTTCTTCATTCGATATCTGATTTTTATTCTGCGCATTGAATTTCTTGCACACATTACTGTGCATCGTAAAAGTTAAATTATATCTAAGGCTTTTTTGGTCTCACTACTGCGGAATTCTGATCAGATGACGTTACAAGCGAGAAAACACATGTCTAAAATTCTTACGTATTATTTCCGAAGAAAAAATATTTGTGTGAAATAATACTTCTGTTTGCCTGAACGCATGTTTGCAAAATTCTCCAAAAACTATCCCTTTTCTTTGACTTCAAGGTTATCACGTTAATTTTCTATTATTAATACAAGACTATCATTAATGCAAAATTCCACAGGAGCGCGTCTTATATGATTAAATTATATTTAATTATATAAATCACATGAAAGAATATTTATTCCATTGTTTAGAAGTTACTTCAAGTGGGCGATCTACGAAAGGCGTTGCTGCAATTGCAATACTTGTTGCTGTCTGGCCTGCCTGTATTATCCGAACAATGTACAACAGCGAGGCCGTCGGTTTGGCAAGACATACAACGCTGTTTGTACAAACCCGCGATTAAACTGAGCAAAAAGCATAAGGCTAAGAAGAATACGAATGGTAAGAAATCGAACGAGCAGACAGGAAGCAATATCGCGCATATACTGAACAATTTAGCGAACGATTTAGATGGTTTGTCTCTGGTGTCGTCTTTGATAAACATCGACGACACGATGTTGAACACGCCGGAGGCAAACACGCAACCCAACCTGTCCTTAGCCGAGAACCTCTCTCTGTACTCTGCGTCGCATCGCTTCAGCGTGGATATAGCGAGTTTCCTGAGCGACAGGATACTGTGCAAGGACTCTAACGGAAACGAACAACTGCAGAGTTCGAGCAATGTCATCTTGCGAAATCAACTGAACCGAGGAGTGGATCTGGCGCTTTCGCAGGTCACGTCCGCATGTTTGGACGGGCGGGTGATGGCGATAGATTATCTGCCGACCGCGCGAACGATATGTCGCGCCGAGGAGTCGCGCTCCGCTGGCAATTATAAACGGGGCAATCGATTCTTTCACTATTTGCATGGCTTGAAGGTGCCAGCCGCGTCGATGAAGCCGAACATCCTGGCTGCCGCGTGTCGAACGCTACAGGAGAAAATTGACAAGAATGCGTCCACGTCGAACGCAGTGAACGTCAGCATCGATTGATATTCGGAAGGGATGTATGTTTCTTATGCGTGCGAGACACGACGCGAATAGCTGTAGTTCTGTATCGCGATTTTAAACTTTTATCGACTGTGGAGGCGCGAGATCATACTCCACAGAATGCCATTTAAATTGAATTTTACTTGCATTATCATTGATTTTACAAAAACTAGATGTAAATATATACATGTCTTGTTTTTATATTATTTTGAATAATATCACGGTTATATTATAGTGCCTTCTCTATTTTGTAAATTAATTTATTATATATGAACAAGGTGAAGAAATTATAGCTTATAAAAATTGAAAAGGTTCGGAATATTTGGAATAATTTATATTGACAAAATGTATATCGCGCATTTGCAATAGATAGTTCTTACGGTCGCATTTAACTTCTATTGTACACTTTCAATGCTAAACGCGACCGTCCTATGTAGAATTTTATCCGTCTTGATGTACAAGATTTTGTGTAAACATCTCAAGTGCGATAAAATATACACAAATACGAATTTCATCATTGTGTTGTCTGTACATTATAATTGCCAAATGCGCGAATCATTACATTTTACTGTAATACAGAAGAATTTATCATAAAAAAGTTTGATAAAAGTATTTTATCTTTAGAAACTTTTTTATTACCCTCTTTTTCTTCGACTGTCGCGAACGCATTGTAGAGATAATACTTAAATTTTTATATGATGTAATTTGCGATTCAATTCCTCAAACTTCAGTATCTTGCGGATGAAGAAGTCTCCGTAACGATGCGCCACTTTCGTGTCGGCGATGTGAATCATGTCGTGATCAATGTAGAAGTCCAGCTAAAAGCACAACATGGTTCTCGTCAATATGAAAACGCTTATTCTTTCTGAATATATGAATCAGAAAGATCAAGTAACAATACATGATTTCATACATTACATTACATTAGAAGAATTTAGAGAAAGCAGTATTCTATGGAGAATTTGTACTGAAAATTTGTATTGTTCCTATATAAATTTATAGAATGCAGATAGAAGTGGCACAGAGATATAAATATAAGACTACCTCAGATCCGGACTGGAACTTGCCGTCCAATCCTGACGTGCCTTTCGTCCATACGATATTCTTCATCTTGTGTTTGAAGCACAACAAGTGGATCGTCAGCGCGTTCACCTCCTTGTCCAGATCCCAGTTCTCGTCGGAGCGCGAATTGCTGCCCATGAAGGTGGCCAGTTTGCTCAGGGGCAATGTCGTGTAGAGCTTCAGATACGAGCGAATGGTGGGTAACATCTTCTGTTGCACCACCTCGTCCATGAACACCTGAGTCTGGTGCTTGATGGCTTCGCGGACGTAGTCCTCGTTGGGATTCTCCGGATTCGGCGCGGTCAGGGAGAGGAACTTGGGACACGCGAAGACGAAGCAGTTCTCGAACTCGGTGAGATCGCCGTATTGCATCTTGTACATCTTCTCGTGGTAGTTCTTGTCTCGCAGCGCCTGTTGCAGACCCTCGTCGATGCATTGCGGATGGAGGACCAGGCAGATCGCGAGCAGGTGATACATCTGCTCGGTCTGCTTGTTGATCTGATCGTTCTGGTAGCTGCGTGTGGCGAACAACTGCTTCGTGCGCTGAATGTACAGCAGGATGCCGGAGAAGGTGCGAATCGCGTCCGCGTAACGGCGCATCATCATGTACGCGAAGCCCACGTAGTAGGCTGTCGAGATTTGGCAGCCGGGAACGTGCGAGTACGCGCTCTTCTTGTATAGCTCCACGTTCTCCAGGACCTTGATCGCCTGGTAATAATCGCCCAGCAACGAGTGCAGTCGTAGAAGGCCGACGAGCGAGAAATAGCCGAGCATCTTGTACAGGGAGTGCCGGCCGAAGGCGCCGGCCACGGAGTCCGGATCGCCGCCGCTCGCGTATACCTCCAGCTGGCTCTTGATCTTCGACTTGTCCACTAGATAGTGCAGGACATTCAGTACGCAGAGCACGTCCCAGATCTTGTTGTGCGCGTTCAGATTGTCGATCTCGTCCGGCGTCTTGTTGGACAGATTGGCGCGATATTGGGCAAATGATTGGAACTGATAAACGAACTCGTCGATCAGCTCCCACAGCCACTGATCGGGCAGCTCCAGTTGCACCGGCGTCTCCGGGTGCAGGATGTAGTTGAAAAGGTCGCAGTAATTATAGAAGGAATTCAAACGCTGCTCCAACGTGGGGCCCTGCATGCGGGCGTAGATGTGACGGTAGTAGAGCTCCTTGTAGAGGGTGAGGAACACCGGGTCGTTGTCAACCAGGTGGGCAATCGTCGATGCCTCGGGCCACGGCGACTTGTCGAACAGCTGCTCCGAGATCTTGGGGAACGAGTTCTCGTAGAGGTTCTGGATCTCGAAGATCATGCCCTCGTTGATGCAGTTGCGCAGGTACACGAGGAAGTTGCGCACGATCTCGGGCAGCTGCCGGTAACTCGTCCGATCGTACTGGTCGTCTGTAGGTGCGTGTCCGTAATCGTTGTACGTGTCATACTGTGGGAATGATTAACAGAGAACAAGTGTAAGTAAAGAAGAATGTAAGAAAGTAGACTTCTTCTGTTTTGACGATTTTAGGTTTAGCGTTTGTTTTTTTATTGACCTAGTGTGTGCTCAAGAATCATCTATAATGCAGTCGCAGTTACATTTTAAAGTCGTAGCACTAGTCTGTAAATCGATCATTTATTTATTTCCTCAGTGTAAGCTCGTGAAAAATGAAAAATTTTATTGAATTTGTCAATGAAACTTTTCACGTTCACTCTACATAAAGCAAGAATGTATTTGCAATTTATGTGATAAAATATGTGTTTTCTGCACAATAGGTCAGGGCAAAATAAAGCATTATATAGCAGAATGAAGAAGTAAGAGATTGGTTTAAGAATTTATGGTTTAGGAAAAAATGAAGAGGAAAGATTAAAAAGGATATGGAACGGTAAGTTAGAAAAGAAAAAAGATTTTATCAAAGTTATGTAAGGAAAAAGAAAGAATTTGGGGAAAGGAAAAGGTAAAGATAGGAAAGAAGAAATAAGAATAAGTAAGAATAGATAAGAATAGGTAATAGATTTAAAAAGAAAAGGGTAACGGATACTAAAAAAGATAAGAGATGCAATGTAAGTAAGTTATAAAGAAAGTATGTAATAAAGTAAAATTGAAAGTGGTTATATAGACATAAGGATAGGAGGTCAAATGTTAAAGTAAAAAGTAAAGGTTAAAAATTAAATATGTAAGGATATAAAAACTAAGACAGGTGTAAGTTAAGATAGTAATTAAGAGGTAATGTAAGGGTAACTGTAGGGTGTAGATATGTGGATGAGTAAGTGAGGTAGAAGAAAATTATAAGCAAAGTCCTTTCCTGGCAATGTAAGCTGAAGTAAATAAATATATATAAATTTGCATTTTATGACAAGGTAAACTGTGCAAGTGAGGTTATGTCAGGGCTATATATTAAGAATTACATCAGCGACATTAGAAGTATAATCGTAAGTTTCTTAAAATTAATCAGTACCTCGTTGTAATCGTCATACATTTTGCTTAAAAGGCAGCAACCTGGACAGAATATAACCTTTTTGACACGTACAGTGCGAACACGAGTTGGCTACGCGAAGAGTCATGGGTCAAAGGAAACAGTGATTGGTGACGACAGATCCATTGATAGTGCTGATAGCGCCATCTAGAACATTTAGTTAGCCAATCAAATTTACGCTCTTACTTTTATATTTTTAAAATCAAATTCATATCTAGGCTGCGTTCCGAAATTCACTGCCAGTACTGAAATTCTATAATATACGTAACATGAACTATAGATTTTCAGTACTGGCAGTGCATTTCGGAATGCAGCCTGCATTCCAAAACATCTTTTTCGAGGAAAATTTTACTCTTAAATTTATAGTTTATGTTACATTATAGACTTAAAAGTAAAATTTTCCTTGGAAAGGACATTTTGGAATGCAGCCCTAGAAAAAATAGCTGCGTTCAGCAGAAAAAGCTGCTTTGCAACTGTTGTAAAATTCGTGAATCTGATTGGTACATGCTCTTGGATTCAATCAAAATTAAGAGCATGCTCCAATTAGATTCACGAATTTTACAACAGTTGCAAAGCAGCTTTCTCTGTTGAACGCAGCAGTTAGGCGACAGTTTCCCGAAAAGTGGTTGGTATCAAGGAAAATCTCTACGCGATATAATTTAAAGATTCTATTCTTTGTAACTGTACTGCTAAATTGATGCAATAAATTAAAGTGAGACAAGTATATGTTTTTTTCATTCTAACTTTTTGCATTAGTTCAGCAGTGCAGTTACAAAAAACAAATCTTTAAATTATATCGTGTAGAGATTTCTCTTGGTACCAACATTATCCCCTCCACTTTTCGAGAAACTGTCGCCTAACCGAACGCAACCAATGGCTTTGAGGCATTCAATTGCCGGAAGTCATATATTGAAGGAAAGAAGGAATGCATATCTAGATATTCGTATGTCATAACTGATAATTTGTAACAGTGCTTGATAATTCTGTAGCACGGATTGTTTGAAATTCAATGAAAGTTTAAACGTTAAAACATACACCGGATCAAGCTCAGTTTGGTAATATGTAATGATCGCCTTTGTTTATTTATCAATTATTGCAAATCTTAACAAAGTGTGATGCTCGTTTTACGCGGATTCCAAAACTCGAATTCTCTCGTTGTGTTGGGACTCGTCGTTTTGAGTCTTGTATTTATGATTCAAATTAAACAGATCTACAACAATAATCAGAAATATAACAGATATACAACGTATAAGCAATACGTAAGATCTAGATATGTTTGTGTAGATATTTTAACAATTGTGAAATAGTTGAAATAATCTTTGTAGGTTTATTGATGTGCTTTAGGAGCTGATATATTTTACAATTTGTTTCCAGATGAACGAAATAGCAACAGAGCTGAAAGCAGTAGTGAAGTCTGTAAATAAATCATCTGCTTATGTTCGTCAGTTGAATGAGATGCTCTCAAAATATCGTGAAAGATCAATAAAAAATATTTCAGTCTCAAAAGCTACCTCATCATCGTAAATATTTTGACCCGTTGGAATGAAAACTTAAGTTGAAGGTAACAGATGTTATATAACATATTTCTATATAACAGATGTTATATAGAAATTACAAAAATTTTATATTGTTATTTACTTTGTATATTTTGAAACATGAAGATGTATATTTTATATAAAATTTATATATTATGTAGAATATTAATTACAAAATATGTGTTATAGTTTAATTAATATACATTGAAGGTTATTAGTATATTGCATCTTATGTTTCTGAGTATTTACTTAATAAATGTAAAGTTATAGAGAGGAAAAGAACGTTGTAAATATTGTTAATGTAACAATAGTTAAAAATAATCTCTCTTAAATTAAAATTGAGTCCCAGCCCAGTGACATACATTGAGGATTATTTTTATTAACTCCTGTATCTTGGAGAACACCATCTGGTGCACACAGCCATGGGTCCTTTGTCACTTTCATCCAATCAAACAACCGTTGTTGCAGATCAATGAATATGCTCTATAAAATTAGAGGAAACATATATCATAATTTTTCCACTCTTTATAGAAACCAAACTTGATATTAACTCTAATATAATATCACCTGCATTGATGGCTTTAGAGCTATATTATTTAATTCTTCTGGATCATATTTTAAGTCATATAACTCCCATTCTGGTCTTTGATAGTATTTTCTCAATGTTTTAAACCATGGTAAAAATTTATGGCTTCGTGTCCTATTAAGAAGATCCTGTATACAAAAAAAATATATGTATTGTTTATTATACATTTGTATAAATGTTTATAAATTCTTATAAGTTTATATGATATGATCACAAATAGGATATGTAGAAGGTTCTTTTTTTCAGATTACCTGGAAGGTGGGAGATACATAAAAGTCCTGATCAATAGGAAATGGCATCTTATAGTTGATGTTGTGTATGAGCTTATGGCGTTTAGTCCTAATTGCACGCATCGGATAGTACATGGTAACTTCATGATGTGTTTGGCTGGCAAAGATCGCTGTTCCGTTTTCCGTGGGTTCTACAAATAGGATATCGATTATTTTACAGTATGGCCTTGCTAATGAACGATAATACACGCTGCTATCGACGTATGCGCGCGTGTGTACCTTCACGGAGAAGCGGTAGGAGCGATTTGCCAGTAAGCTGCACTTTGTCGAGATCCGACGACTGATTCTCGTGAGTCATGTTAAACCAATCTAATATTGTCGGAACTATATCCAGCAAAGACGTCATGCTGTATGTTACACTGTTTTTCCTGTGGCCACGTATCGGCGACGAAATCATCATCGGTTCGGCTATACCTTCAATGATTAAGAGTCAATAATTAGTGTCGCTCGATAATTTTTACCACTTTGTATTTTATATGTGAAGTTATAATTCTTATCACTGTCTTTAATAGATTCTTCACATTCCATAGAGTTTACATAAACATTTCAAATCCTTACATTGCTGTCGTTTACTTCTCGTATTTATCCGTGCGCGATGCAGTTTTATGAAATATAATTAAATTAAGAAATAATACCTGGGTCGTACAAGTTTGTTCGGCCATTTGGGAAGGGTATACCATTATCAGAGGTGTAAAGCACCAATGTGTTATCTTTATAGCCAGCATTTTTGAGTTCTTCGAGCACAAGGCCAACACCTAAAAAATTATATATATCTCAATTAATATATTTGAATATCTTGCACGTAGTATATTAGAAACATACATGAATTATTAACGTACCTTTGTCCAAGCGAGATATCGTCGTATACTGAGCAGAAATGTCTCTCCTGGCAGCTTCTGTGTCTTGAACGTAGTAGGGTACTTTAACTTGATCCCATTGATAATATATTGGACTCCAGTCCGGGATTGTGCCCATCCCGACGTCTCCATTGCCGAATTTCTCGCAAAAATTGCCATACTCTGGATGACTATGTCCGCAACGATGAGGATCGTGGAAGGCAACGAGTAGAAAGAAGGGTCTGCAAACATTTTGATATAGTTGGAGAATTTTTTGCAAAATGCTTATATCTTAAAACGATTATACGATATATATTTCCGTATATAATTGTTGACGTAGTATTAATTTTGTTAAAGTTTCACTTACTCTGTCTTGTTGTATGAAAGAAACTCGCGCACCAGCAGCTTAATATGAGTGATATTGCGACCTACTTGAAGAATAGAATTGTCTTCTTCTGTTCGTTCAAAATCAAATCGGTAAACTTCACTAGGGCCTACATGCTTCTTGCCAATAATTCCTGCACAAAGAAAACACTTAAATATCACAATGGTACTATGTAGACTTATTAGTTATTGTAATTACAATACCTGTTTTGATATTGTTTCTTTTCAGTATTTTTGGCAAACTTTGAATGTTTTCAAAAGAATTGAAATGATGAACACCATGGTGGAGACCATACATTCCATTTTGATGACTTGGTAATCCAGTCAATATTGCAGAACGACTGTAAATTAAAAATTTAAGAGTTATTTCTTCATGGCCAATCTGAATCTAAAAATACCTTGGCGAACAGCTGCTGGCTGACGTGTACGCATTGTTGAACAGTAGACTCTCCTTTGCTAGCTTATCCAAGTTGGGAGTCTGACAGATTTTATTCAAGTAGGATCGCATTTCAAATCCCGCATCGTCAGCTGTGAATTAAACAGAAAAAGAAGAGAGACAATTTCAAGTAGAGTATACATAAGTATAGATTAGATTCAAGTCTCAATTTACAGAAAATTATTTCTGCAAATATGTACAATTTCTCTCAAAACAAAGAATGTTCTAGTTTGCATCGCTTTGTATAATTGTAATTTTGCACATGAACAGCTCGTTCTTATCGACTCAACAATAGTTTTGCAAACTAATTTTGCTAGATAAGCGACAAAAAAAGAAACTAAATTACCCAGAAATAGCAGCACATTCTTTTGAGCCGCGTCCTCACTCGCATCGTTGTTGCGCAATTCTAACAAGATAACGCACAAAAGGCATAATTTATGTAAACAGCTGTTTCGCGTCATATCGGCGCGCACGATGCACCACGAGGTGGTATGCCTATTCAGTCACGTATGTACTCGTCGTTATGTGTGTTCTTACATCAGAAATTAGGTAATTGCGGATTACAAATATATAATTAAATATGCTTCATTCACTATTATTTTCTAATCTTTAACGGTAACACGAACAACGTTAGTGCTAACTATTATATTGAAGGACTTTTCTTAACCGGTCATGCGGAAAGGTTAGGTCGCAGGAGGTTATGTTATCAGTTGAAAGATGGTGGAAAAAAAGGAGGGGATTATTAAATCCATTACTTTAATACATGCGGCACGTGATTTGAAATCCCGCTTTCTGATCATTCTTTTTCTCCACTTCAGAATCGGTCGCTTATCGTAACACGTTTTTATCTGAGTATCTTACATAATTTTGGGAGATTCTATTTTCGTTTTCTCGCTTATTTTATTCTATATATAATTTCTGTAATTTGCTCACATTGTAACCACATTTTTTCTCTTTCTATACCTATATCTGTGTTTGAAACGACAACGTGTGTTTCAGTGTTCCTGGCTGTCTAAACATAGCAGCATCATGTCGAAAAAGATCATCTGTTTGTTTGATGTCGATGGCACACTCACTGAGCCACGACAGGTATTGTATTTTGTACCCGTACTCTCAACGATTTGGGCGAAATTTGGCATTAACGTATTCTGAGAAAATTACTGCTTTTTGTAGCCGATTAGTCCCAGTATAGAGAAGTATCTCCTAGAAACTGTGAAGAAGGAGTTTGATATCGCAGTGGTTGGAGGGTCAGATTTGTGCAAAATTAAAGAGCAACTAAGTGGTGGAAAGCTGTTTGAAAAGTACAAGTATGTTTTTGCAGAGAATGGCCTTATCGCTTTCAAGGATGGCAAAGCTTTGCCATCACAAGTAAGTAATGGGAGAGGATGAGCGATGCAACATTAAGCAAATCATGCACGCAAGCTATTTTAACACACATTTTGCTGCAGTCAATCCAGGACATGCTCGGAGAGGATGCGCTGCAGGACTTTCTGAATTTTGTATTGCATTACATATCTGAGTTGAAGTTACCGTTCAAGCGTGGAACTTTTGTAGAATTCCGCACAGGTATGTTGAATGTCTCGCCAGTAGGACGAAACTGCACCAAGAAAGAGCGCGAACTATTCAACGAGTATGACAATGAAAATCACACTCGTGAGAAATTTATACAAGCCCTCAAGAAAGAGTTTCCCGATTTGGCGCTCACTTACAGCATCGGTGAGTGATGTTTTATTCAACTGATCATCTGACGTAGCTTAGCTCTTATCACTCATTTTCTCATCTGTAATCTTGATTGTAAATCCTAAAACCTTCGTTTAATTCTTTCAACTATTTTTCTTTCTAAAGGGGGACAAATCTCTTTCGACGTGTTTCCTATTGGTTGGGACAAAACGTATTGCTTACGTCACATACAAGGTTACGATGAGATACACTTCTTCGGCGACAAAACGGCCGAAGGTGGTAACGATTATGAGATTTACGAGAGCGACTTAACGATAGGACATCGCGTCACGTGTCCCAAAGACACAATTAACCAACTCAATATCCTCCTCACGCTCGTCAAGGAAAATAGAGAAAAGGAGCAGCTCAGTGTGCCGATGCATTGTATCTAATCGACTGTGGCCTAAACTCGAAGTGCGTTTCTAAATCAAGATGTAGAGTGATGTACAATGCACAAGCAGGATTCGTTCTTTTTCACGTGTAAGACTACTTAATTTCACCCACCGATTCTATTGCATTCCTGACAATAATAAAGGTACTTATAAGTATGCAACATCTTTAAGTGAGAGTACTTTAGCGTGGGAAATTCTACACGAAACTGTTTCCACACGTATTTAAGGATACGTGTCTGCTCTTTATATTTATATATGTTTTTATTATAGTTTGATATGCAGATGTTATGAATGTTGAATAAAAACGTTTATTAGTATTACAAATATAACAATTGACTTCACGTTTGAGGCAGATAACATCCGCGTGAGTGTCACGCACACACGTATCGTCACGCACACACGTATCGTCACACACTTACCATATGTGTTTTACACACAGATATGTTGCACATGTGCTGAAATGACATTAAGCGGTAATGGTATTGAAGCGAGGTAACGCTCGATGTCTGATTGGAAGACGAAGCGGAATCTTTTTCTGTCGCTGATATAGATATGCAACGTGGCTTTAACTCATTTGAATATGTAAATGAAAGCAGAAGCTACAAGGTCAACATCGCTATATCCGCAATTGTTGCACCTCTTGCATGGAGCGCGATACTGATTGTAATCCGTAATGTGTGTAAATAGAGTTGGGAAAATCTTGTATTCTGTGAACAACGAAAATTCTTGCGAACAACGAAAAGTATAAATCTTGAAAATCCTTTTATAGATAACAAGTGAATTTTTCTAAGAAATTGAAATTTATTCGTTGTAACATATACATTTGCAACATAATTAATATATGTATTAATGAACATAGTGTAACATAGTTATAACATATTTATAATATGTGTATATATATATATATATATATATATTTATGTATGTATGTATATATTTAATTTGATTATGTTAATTTGTAACTAAATTAACATAATTAATTTAATATATAATATACAAATGTTTTTATATAAATTGTATACGTATATGAAAATTATATATATACATATATTTATTTCGTAAAAATATCTGTATAAAATGACATTTATCGTTTGACATGGGAATTGAACGTTCGTTACGAATCAATCGCACCTGAATTTTTATATTCCCTGATAAACAGGTGCACGCTTCGCTGCGAAAGCGGCGAGTCCTTCGATCCTGTCCTTCGTGTCCACGATCTTGCTGTAACACTGCCTCTCGACCTCCAGGCCGTCCTTAAGTGATACCTCCGAGCCTTCAGATATCGCCACTTTCGCCAACCTGAGGAGCAAAAAATTTACAACGGTCAAATAGCCTTCTATTAGCATAGAAGTGAGTAAACGGTATTTTTGCAAACGGATAACTGTAATCAGTGCTAAAGAGCGTTGGTTAATATAATTTACATCATACGAAGATAAGCGTGTGGTGTGATGCGCATTATGTAATACGTGAGTGACCGTATCAGTAATTCTGCGTAACTATCATCATTTTTAAATACCTGTTCTCTCGTTTCGCGAACGTAATTGTCATCACTCACTGAAGCGAATAAACATTCGCGTAAACTGCTCTTGGCTTAATTCCGCAATTTTCCTTTTATCATCGCGTTTCTACACATGTTCGAGCTTTATCTTATCTTCACTATCCTTATTTAATATATTTTCATACCATTTAGTTTATGATACATATGTCGCTGTTTTATTTATTTTGTGACTTTTTGCGTTCTCAACACACTCGAATTTATACAGTTAATACTAAAAACTCGTCAACTCACCTGACGCCGATTGGACCGTTAGGCAAGATTTCTCTGGCGATGGAGAGAGCCGCCTGGTAGGCCGCGTCGCCGGTCTTATTTTGCGGCACCACCTCGTTCACCAGACCGATCTGCAGAGCCTCGTCGCCATCGAGAATGCGCGCCGTGTAGATGAGCTCCTTGGCCTTGGCTACTCCGACTATCCGCGGCAGTCTCTGTGTACCACCGCCACCTGGTATTATCGCCAGCCTGGTCTCCACGAGACCCATCTTGGCCTCCGTGGAGGCGACCCTGATGTCCGTGGCTAGAGCGAGCTCCAGACCTCCGCCCAAGGCTACACCGTCGATCGCGGAGATTACCGGAGTCGGCAAGGTCTCCACGTCGCTGATCAGGCTTCTCAAGCTGCTCACGAACAGTGGCACATCGGCGCTATTCATCTTCAATCTCTCCCGCAGGTCCGCCCCGGCGCAGAACACCTTCGGGACGAGGCTGCGTAAAATCAACACCCTCAGCTTGTTGTTCTGCCTGACGGTGGCCAGGGTCTCGTTCAGCTGCGACACCAAGCTCTTGCCGAAGGAGTTGCGAGCTGCGGGCCTGTTCAGTCCTATCACGGCGATGCCGTTGTCCTTGCCGTCCAAGTAATTGACGATCACTTCCTTCGCCTCATCCTTGATAATGCTGTTGCTGGGCATCGCGCTCGTGCTAGCCAGTGCCCTCGATGCACAGACGCAGAGCTGATGAAGCGTGCCGGTGATCCGGACGCTCGTCATTAACGAGGCCATCGTGCGCGATCAACTCGCGAACTGTTCGCACCTGCAGAATTTCCCTGTAAAATGAATTTTCCCTGTAAAATGAAATCGAAAGTAATTCCCGTGAAATTCAGACTGACAATATGGCTTGTCATCCGCGCATTCTACGTTGTCTTATCGTGTGCAAGCGTCGCGGACTTTTGCGCGCGACAGTTCGCAGTTCGATCTATTATAGATAAATATTTACACTGTTTGCGTAACAAGAAATCTCGTATGAGTATTGGCTCTGTATGAGCCGCTTACACTTTGAAAGTAGTGAAAGAAGAAAAACAACATTTGGTCACCTTGCTTACAAATCAATATGGTGAGAAAAACGGGCGGAAAGTGGGCTTACATTACTTTCAAAAAAGTGACTCCTTGCATTCCTTGTAAACAAACCGATTTTTTAAATTTTTCCGACGAAGGAAAAAAAATCGTTTTGCGCAATTAATTCATGTATCAAGGGCCAGAATATTGTTTAAAATTGAATTAACTGGATATATTGATTTTCACAGGCATTCGCAGTGCAGAGTTAAGGACGTGACCGTTGATACTTGTACGTGTAGCTTTACTTCTACAACAAGAACTCCGCAAGTCTAACGAACGAACGAACGATTGAAAGTAAAAAGAAGAAAAAAATCCTTTGTAGCGATTCGATATTGGCGTTAATACACAGGACAATTTCCTAAGAAGACTCACTTAAACACAACAGACCGGTTTCTCTCAAGCTGTCGACGGCCGGCGGCGAACGTAATTCCAGAAAAATCTTCCACGTCGTTATCCTTGATCCTATTTCGGGATCGCGATGCGACAGGCGTGCAGGAGCATTCGCATGTGTCCCTCTGCGAAATCACGCGCGCGCGCACGCATAGGTAACGCGACGGAAGAAAGCTCGCTCTCCCACACGCACTTCTCTCTCTCTCTCTCCCACTCTTCTCTTTCTCTCTCTCTCTCTCTCTCTCTCTCTCTCTCCGCCTTTTGTCGCAGCGAACCGTGTTTTGATTTTGGCCGTGTCACGAACGGGAATGCTATCTGTGGGATGGACTTTAAACCGTCGCTGCGCGAATGCGGTCGTCGTGTTTCGTCGACATTACGACATTGAAGAAGCGGTGAGCGCGGTGGTAGGGATAGCCGAAGAAAGTCTCCGAGCGAGCGAGCGAGAATCCCTCCCGACGAACGCTACCGCGTCGACCACGTCGCGGTCACGACTGCTTCCTCCTTCCATTTTCGTCGACTTGCCACTGCAAGTAACGAAAGTAAACAACGCGCGCGTGTGCGTGCGTGAATGCGTGGCGCGCACGTGTGCCTCGGTAGGAAGCCGCGGTGGCGTACCTCGTCGGGTGCAGACGCGAGCATACGCGTCACGTGATCTCGCCACGTGACCGCGGCAAAACTTGGCACGCTTGGATGCGACACGCTGAACTTTTATCGCGACAAATCTCACGCGGTGAGATTTTATTATTTTTCTCTCCTGTGCATTTAATCTTTCAGTCCTTGTGTTCCCTGTGTCGATGCTATAGAAATGCAATGAATGTTACATTGAACGTATGTCATTAACATTGTAGAAGGGGAATTCGTGAACTATGGCTCGCGTTACCGGTGGCCTTCATGCGAAACTGGACTAGCTTTCTCGTGGGAATAGCGGTTCTTTTTTAATGTCAAAGTAGACGATTTGGAGGAAACAGGGACACGATTATCGATGAGAGATTCATTGACGCAGCATTATTCGTGTATACATTCTGTATTCTAGTGTTTCTCTCGTAACAGCTATTCCTTACATTAGCCTAAATACATGACCTAAACTTGTGTAATGGCTTGGTGTCTATACTTTCTCGATAATTAATCGTAGGTATCTTTAGAGTACATATATCAGACTTTCTGAAAGTGAATTACAAGCTATGGCAAATAAATAAATAAATAATAAATAAGTTATGCATGGTCGCCTCCGAAGCCGGTCCAACGTGAAATCCGCAGTTCTCCTTGCTTTTTTATCGTATTACTTTGAAGAACATGCTTTTTCTTTGAATGCGCATACCCATACACGATTCGGAGTCAGTTCTTTTCTGGCAAAACCATCGAGGCGGCTCGCAATTTTTCCACTGCTGATATCATGACTTTGTTGCATCCAAATTGCAAAAAAAATGCAATCGCGCGAAGTAGAGTCCGCTTGAAATTGTTCTTCCCCGAGCAGCAGCTCATCTCTTCTCGAAGAAGTCTCTCTCTTACTCTCCGATTTGCCACTGTAAGAGCGCTAAAAATATATTTAAGCTGCAGCTGAGATTTTTGCCTAGGAGAAACCGACTCCGAATCATCGATCGGACGAACCGTCGTTAGAAAGAAGAAGAAAAGAAGAAATAACGCATCAGACGCGGGACATGATGTGCATCCTGTTGACGTTACTTTCTCTCGCGAGTGTGTCGCTTCTCACCCGCATTATTTCGAGTGAGAAATGACGATCGTCGTGCTGTTTATCAGCACGAATCCAGTTACATCCGCCGGAGTTACATCGAGCGCGACTTTCGCGACCCGATGACGAATGGCAACGTATGTACCACTAAACGATCGGCCGGTCGACGCGGCGAAGCGCGGCGGCCGCGACGAGTCCCCGATCGTATGGTACCTCGATCGCCGGCGTTTTGCAACTTAAGCGGCAGGTGCGACAGGTGGCGGCCGCAGCATCGACCTGGTGGCCGAGGAAAGTTTCTGCGACACCAAATGGGCGATATGCGACGACCTCTTCCACACGAATTCCCGCGTTCTGTCGTGGTCGTCCGCGCTTTCCACCCGGACCTGACGAGCAAACGTATGGCTTCAATGATACGCGCGATTCGTCGCTCTGCTTTTGTGCGGCGAGACCTTCGTGTTCTCTTAATCTCCTGTTTGTGTGAAACAAACTCAAAATTTAAGTTTAACGATCATAAAGCTGACTCGACACTTTATCGTTTCTATTTACCTTTGATTTGCTGCAAATTTCACTGGAAGTAGAATTACTCATGTTGTGCAATTAGGCTCAATGTTTTTGATAGTTGAAGGAACATTCGACAATTATTCGACTTTGTGCTTTCCAATTTTAGATTCACTTTAGCTTTGAAGAATTTTCAAATTCCTACACGTCGGTCCGTTAAGAAAAGACTCGACTTCCCTTCAATTTGACTTGAGCCGACTTACATCTGACTTTTTTTCTTTTCAGCGTGTCAGAAATCGACGTACCTGCTTAGGCTGCAAAACTCTGATAGAATGCAAGGTCGCCGCACCGCCGTGTAGCACGCGTAAGCTCAGCTTGCCGGACATCTCGGCCGTGGTGGCAGTCGCGCTTCTCAGCTCCTTCTTCGCGGCCCTACCGAACTCCTTCTCGACTTTTAGTACCAGCGGACCGAGGCTGAACTTGGTCTTGATCGTGGTATGGTCGCTCATCATGTTCACCGACACGTCGCCCGTCCTCTGCAGAGACGCCAGCCCGTACAAGGTAGCCTTCGCCTTTGGCTTGCTCTTGGACTTTGTCTGTAACTCACACAGTGATTTCAATCTCCTTGACTTCAATTACTTCCAATTTGACTTCAATCTGATCCTCCGATATGATTCTAGTGAATACGAGTGAATATGATTCTAGTGTGCCCGTCGAATAAATGTTAACTATTTCTTAGATATTTGTTTCTCAATGTAGCGTCTCTTATGAACCTTTCATTTGACTGCTCTTGATTGGATTAATTAAATCGTAAACTTTTTCTCTTGCTGATTTTGATTATATCTGTCAGAGCTGTCTGTTTCATCTAATTATTTTAATTTTTTAATCAATCACCTTGTTCTTGTTGCCGCTTCCCGTGCTGCCGTTCTTCGTCCTATTCTTCGTCCGCTTGCGGTTCTTGTTGGAGCCCTTGCTGCCGGAACTGGAGGTGCGTCTGTTGCTGGCTCTCACGCTCGCTTCCGTGGGAGATCCGGACGCGACCGTGGTCGCGATTGGCTCCTTCTCCGTCATGTCCGCTTGTGTCATCACGGACTCGGTGGTCTGCGCCAGTTTCTGCAAGCCAGGACACGTATTTGTACAAGTTGAAAAGCTCGTGCGGGATTACGGAGCGAAGATTACCGGAGTCTCGACACTGCTCGACGCTTGAGAAGAGAATCGCATCGACGGCAGCGGTCTACGTCTCGCGAACATACCTCGACGACGTTCTCGTTGTCGCTCCTCTCGGTGACGCTCGCGTCTGGTCTCGAGGCGCTCTTCTTGGTGCCGTTCTTGTTACCCTTCTTCCTCAACTTGTTTTTGCCCTTGCTCGACTTCGAGTTCGAGCTCGGATTCGTCAACTTCACCGTCACTGGTTCGTAATTCGCGCGCAGGATGTTGTTGATCTTGCCGAGGATGTTGTCCACGAAGCGATTGTACTTCGCGACATAGATCGCCGGCACATGGGCGCTCGGCTCAGATTCCATGCCACCTAAAATGGCGATGAGTCGCATCGATCTCGCTTCCTGCTTTCCCGGCTTGTTCCCTCGCGAATCGACTTCTCAACGATCGTGCACACGCGAGCTTTATATGCGAATTTTACGCGCTGTTAATTAGAAAATTAAAAACTTCTCGATCCCGTGACTTCACGAATCTCTCCCGCAGGCTGCGAGACCGCCGAGCGACCCGATTACCCTGCGAGGCGACCCCAATCAGGCAGGAAAGGGAGCGACTTGTCGGGAACGCGCGCGCGACCTTGAAAGGCGCTTGATCGCGAGGTCATCTCGAGGCGGCGTGTCGTTCGGGTTATCGACCACGGGGACGCGCCTTCTCACATGCCTCGGCGGCGCGTTTTCTGAGTTTTAATGAAGGGAAACGCATTCCGTCGCTTCGGGTCGCCTCTACTTGGAAGGAAGTCGGCGGCGTCGGTGATGGCGGAGCCTACTTAGAGCAACACTTCGGCGACAATGTTAACGGTATATCGGAATCCATCAGAGCGGCCAAACTGGTCCCCGATCTGGGTCATGACCTCCTTCCTACCTACAGGCGCTCACCTACAGACCCATCTAGCTGTACGAGCGAGCGAGCGAGCGCGTTGCGTACCCAACAACCGGCCCCCAATCTCCCGCGTGCCCACCTAAAAACTCTCCCCCCGCGGTCGTTGCACCCGCGCACAAGCACCGGGTACAAGCACACTTTCATCGAGCGTACGCCACCGCCAATGAAAATCTCTCGTGTCACGGACAATATCAAGGCCGTCTACTTATAGTAGGCATTAGGTCGAACGCGTCGGCCGAACCTCCTCTACGTCACTTATCGTCGGATATCTTCGCGAGGCCGAAAGCTCCGGGCGACACGAGTGATAACAATAATTCACTATCTGCACATCCGTTATCTCGCGTCAAGTGCTCTTGAAGAAATTGATCGCGTGATGATGCAATCGATCCGACATTTCTTCAACCCAAAAGCGTTCCTAATTTTTCTGCTGTAATACGAGGTGTGTCTCGTATTCGCATTCTCGATTGTATCGCGAACTGTCAAAATATCATTCAAAAAAAGATTTTGCAGATCAAGATATAATGTCAAAGTTGAAATTTTTCGTTGTTTTTTGCACCCGTTAAAAAATTGTCTGCGATACGTAGAATTTGCAGCAACAGTATTCTAGGCAATTTAGGGTTCCATCACCGATTATTAATTTGGCTTTAATCTGGATAAGCTTCGCAGAGATTGTTCTTGCAAAATTGTACAAATGATTCATATATAAATTCTGTTTGTCATTTAATATTGATTAAATAAAAAACATGCGATATCGCGATTTGCGTAATTTATTTATCTTAGCTTACTTTTGATTATATAAATAATTTTTACTACGACTGCAAAAGTATTTTTTTGAATGTCATTACGTGTCAAATTCATCGGAGTTGCAAGATAGCAGAAAACACAGTGAATTCGGGCAATTAGAGGAGCCTGTTTGCGACCAATATAAAAGCTAATGTATATATCTTCGCTCAAATTATCTGAAACTCGATATAGTTATCCAGCTCTCGATTGTCGAATTTTTCTTCCTCTTGGTCTAGCTTTTTGAATTTTCCTGACTCTGTATCTCTTTCGGAATTTTTTATCTGTTGCCTTTCTCTTTTTCTTCAACTCTTATCTGTTGTAAAAATCGATATTAATCAACGATATTACGAGCAATACTTGGACGCATCGTAAACAGCACAAATTTAGAGAAGACGTCTCAAAGACGTTTAAAAGAAATAGGACGTCTCTTGAATGTCTTTAAGACATTCTTCAGTAAATTGTGCTGTCCGGGATTTTTTCTTTCACGGAAGTCTCGAGAAGCGAAGTCGCACATCGCCGTAACCATCGGAGGATTAACGGCGAGTCAGAGTACGGCCAACAGAAGTTAGCGTGTCCGTTACATTGAAGCACGGCTCGTCTGACCTCGCGACGGAGGTCGAAGGACGTCGGCGCGGCAACGTTCGGGCAATGAGTCAGGTTCACGGTCACGATCGCGCAGGCTCCTCCGTCGCATCGCTAACGCACTCGTGCTCTCCGGATCGGTGGCCTCGTTTCTTTTTCGGCTGCTCGCGGTGAAAGCCGGGGAAAAATTTCAACGCGGTCACACCTTTGTTGGATTTAACCCGGTAGTCATGTAGAAAGTTAATTGGCCGTGGCGTGACGGTCCGTTCGAGAGAGAATTCTCCTCTCGGTTAGACTACTACCGCGCGACCGCCATCGAAGCTCACTCGTGTCGATTACTTCGTTCTTGAAGTCTCGCTCGAAGAGAAAGAAAAGAAAAAGATTTGCGCGGCGACTCTGCGACTAGATCGACATCGGGGGACGTCAGATCATTATTGTCATCCTCACACGGAAAGAAAAGATTTCACTGCCGCAGCTTCATCATGGTTTGCTGAATAATATATTTGTTGTTGTAACTGAAAATTTGCGCTTTTGCTACTACGTCGGTTTCATAGCTAAATACATGCTTACCGACAGCTATACTTTTAGGTATTCGTATGTTACCACGAGATTTAGCCGGCACAGATAGATTCTTGCTGCCGCAGCTATTTCTTCTTTTTCCGCGCGCGCGAATTATCTTTTTCTCTTCTTCCTTTTCTCTGATTAGTTATCAACTACTTAGCTTGACTTACCAGCTACTGTATTAGTGACTAACTACTTCTAATTCTATGTCTACATATGGAGTCCAAAAATACACGGGAGGTGAGGCAGGACACTGGTGGTGGAGGGATACGTTTGAGAGGGTATCGTGCTACTCTGTCCAGGTACACGTAGTTGCAGTCTATCGTCAAGAACCGTCCACCAAACACGCGTTCGTCTACCAGATAGATAAAACACAAACTGGAAGCGACAGCTCGGCAGGCAAGAGAGCGCTTTCTACGATCTACGACCGAGAGACGTACGACGAGAGGAGGAAGAAAGGAAAAGAAAGCAAGTGGAAGTACGAAAAGCTGATTGACGTCCAGATGGTGGAGGAGAAGCGCCGCTAATCGACGTGCACTCGAACAGCCAGCCAGGCGGCTCACGTCACGTCGCAAAAGCTCAGAGCAGAGCGTCCTTTTCCTACCCCCGAATGCCGAAGATCGAGACCGTCTCGTGGATCTTGCGGAATCTCGCTCGCGAATCCCGACACGCTGCGGACGCGATCTTCACTCTCTTTCTCTCCACGTCCGCTCGCGAGTCGGGAATCGATTCGCGATTTCTAGTCTTGATCGTAAAAACGACAAGTAAAGCAGAGATTTTACTTCGACGCGTCTCAGCGAAAAGGACAGAGAGAATTTTGCTTCGTGGGTCACGCGCGAGACGAGTATCTGGACACAAACACGATAAAATGGTGAATGAATGAAATAAAGAGACACGGTACACACACAATTTTGCAAAAACAACAAATTATCTGTATTTTCTTTCTTTCTCTCTCTCTCTTTTTGCAATCCAGAATGGATAATAGCTCTGTACAAGTCTTGGTCTAGAAGATAATAAATAGAGAAGTGTCGTAATAAACTCTCGACTGGTTCGTGCGTGCGGGACAATCGTTATCGTTGTCGACCACGTTTAATCCGGCAGATGACAGGCGATTTTTCACGGTGATACTCGCGACGTCTGACGTCGTAACGAGATTTAATAAGACGATTACACGTTCACAGATGGACCCATGGACCCGCGATTGTTACGCGTTACGAGAGACGTTGTATACGAGATGTACAATACATCGAGACAAGATGTATTGTCGTTTCTGCCGGATTAACGTCTTATCTCTAAATCCAGGGAGTGTGAATCGGACGGGATCGATCTCCCGTTCTGATTCCGCACCCGTGCGGTTACCCGGACGATCTCAGGTGTCGCTTATCCTGCGGGTGAGACCGACGGTCTCCTCCCTCGTTCACGCTCTTTTCCTCATGCACTCACGCACTCTCTCACTGTTCTCCGCGTTTTCTCTCTCTCCTTTCGTCCGTTTCCACGACCATCCGTTCGATCGACGGCATGCCGAGTGTTGGAAAAAAAGGGGAAATACGTGACGTGAGGTCACCAAGCCAAAGCACCTCGATGCTACGCCAAACGACGCAAATGTTTCGAAGACGTTCCAATGAAAGGCGCGTTCGGGGAGATCCCGTATTAAAAGACCTCAGGGATTAGATGTACTTTGTGCATCTGAGTGAGGCATCCAAGGGACATTTGGACTGTTGGAAAAACCCTTGGATATATTCACGAGATACACGAAAGACGACATCTGAACGAGACATCTGGGGATCTCTTGAAAATCAGTCGTGAATCTCTTCACGCGAACTCGAGCTTACTTATCAATCATGCAATTTTTTCCCTGATATGAAATCGCGAAAAGTAAATAATTTTGCAGTATTTGAAAGCGATCATCTTCCTCCAGCGTAAACTCATGAAAAGTGAATTCTGAATACCGAAGTGAATTCTGTCTGAATACTTTCAGACAGATGCTCCCAAGCTGTGTTCTTCACTTTTCACGAGTTCACGCCAGGAGAAAAGTTTCATGATCGATCTCTTGGAGCGTCTTCGAGACGTTTGCGTATCAATGTCTCCCACGGGAAGCTTCGTCATGCTCAGTCGTCAGACACAACAACTACTACCACACTACTGCTACTTCGAGTTAATCAAAGGGAGAAGTTGACGAATACGCACTACACTACCGCGATGTGTGCTGAAGCGGTGTCTCGCGTGAAACGAACGTCGCGCGTGAATCTCGACGGAAAAAGCGTGCGCGACTCGAGAGGAGGGCTCTCACAGTTCGTTGCTCGCACTTCCACGCAGTTTCGTCGCGGCGGAAAACGTCGGACAGCTCCGGCGGGAAGTGGCCACAGAGAGAAAGATACTAGAGCGATGCACTACGGACAAAAAGACACGGACGTGTCGACGATCTCTTACACGACGCGACGCGATCCGCGACGGACCCGCGACGGACTACTCGAGTTGTAGAGGTATTGCTGTGAATAAATACAATAAATAAACTAACACTAGACTTGGGCGCTCGAGATGATCGTCAATGATGTGCAACGATTTCCTCGCGAAACGGAGCTATCTAGACAACGCAAACTTCTAGGAGACGTTTTCAAGATGTCTGTAAACGTTCTCATTTCTCCAGTGTCTGAAAAAGTTTGCGCTGTTTGGATATGCTTGATGGTAGGACGCGAGAGGAACGCGATGTCGTGATCGTCGAGACTGGCGGCAAAGTAGCTTGCCAGGTCGGGAAGACTCACGTTGCACTCGCGGGAAAGAACATTCGTTCACGACACGGTTTACACGCTGTCCGACGCGGAGGAGGAGGAGAAAGAAGAAGAAGAAGAAGAAGAAGAAGAAGAAGAAGAAGAAGAAGAAGTAGTAGTAGTAGTAAGGGGAGAAGAAGAAGAAGAAGACGCGGAAGAGACCGTCGTGAGCGATCGCGTGGTCGGTTTCCGCGACTTGCGGGCGTGCTTGCGCCCGACAACGGCGCTATGTTTCTTGGTCTTGCCCTTGAACTCACGTGCGTGCCTAGCGCCGGCGATGTTGGCGATGTCATCCACTTCGTCGTCATCGTCGTCGTCATCGTCATCGTCATCGTCGTCGTCGTCATCGTCGTCGTCGTCGTCGTCGTCTGTAATGTCCAGATCGACGTCGTCGTCGTCGTCGTCGTCGTCATCGTCGTCATCGTCGTCGTTGCTCGGGGCTGCCGCAACGCCTTGCGGCGGCGCGTGGACTACCGGTTTCGAGATGGACTCGGCACCTTCGAGGGTCTGATCTTGCACGCCGGACACTGCCTGGCCTTCGACGGTCTCCTCGACGTCCTCGTAGCTGCTGGTGTCCTCCTCGGCGCTAGTTACGTCACCTGCCCCGGCATCCTCCGCGACTTCCTCGACTCCCTGGCCCAGATCGGCCGCTACAGCCAAGGGTACATGCTGTGACGGGGTTGGAGCGGGTTGAGCCGCGGCAGGGGCCGCAGGCGGGACCGATGTCGATGGCTTCACTTCGTCATCGTCGTCGTCGTCGTCGTCTTCTTCTGTGAACAGCGAATACGCGACATGTCATTTCGATGTTTTACTTTGTCGATGACGTTATAATCATATCGAGCAAAATGAAGGATTGACTTTCAAAAATGTTCGAATATTCTATTGATTAATTGGCCGTAATTATACAAGAATGATCCAACTCACAAAATTATGATCTTTTATTTTTTGTTAACAATAAGTAATCTATACGTCTATCTATTTAAAGCAGATTTAAGCTTTATAGATACCTAAAATTAAATTTTTATTTTCTACTAGTTGCGTCACTTTTACTAATTGCGTATTTTTTTAAAGGTTAAGCTTGTCAATGAATATAATTAAAGAGAAAAAAAAATTGATTATGTTTGAACGATTGTGAAAAACCTTAGAATTATTTATATTCTCTGAATTATGTATTAAATCTTCATCTTCATTTTTTTCGAAATGTATTCCATGTGGGTTGGATCATTCTTATATAACTACGGCCGATTGTTGTCGGCTTTAACGGTTCTAAAGTGGCGTATTATTTGACTAAAATTTTCCTTGTACTCTGCTCTAAACTGTATAATTTTGCCAAATTAATCCTCGCTTTCACAAGATAAAGTTATGCCACAAATAACAGTGATATTCTTGTGTGAGCCGAATTAGAATCTGAATGAAATCGTCTAATTCGGCGCGCCGAGTACGCGAGTCGCGAAAGTTCAGAATGAGCGAGTAAGTAAAACACCAGGAAGAAGTGTTCGTTAGAGAGAAACGACTCTGGTCTAAGCCGACGGAGGGCATAGAGCCAGTTCTACTTCAGACGGAGACGCGTGGCTGCCTCTATTAAAACTGGTTTCAGCAGTACCGCATCGCGACTGCATCATCGAGATCGCTGCACGAGTTGTCGCAAAAGAAAAAAGGGACAAACAAGACGCAAGCGTGGAACGGGGGATTTAGAGTTAGAGGCCGCCGAAAAATATCAAGTCGCAGTATATCGGGTCAGGCGACAGCGTTGTGGAATTCTCGCGAATTCACGGATTCGCACGGGTTCGTGACGCGCATCGCGTAAACGAGACACGACGGCTCAAGGATCGAGGCGGCTCGGATTATCTTTTGGTATTCAGGTCAATGCGAAGAAGTAGCGCGTAGAAATTTTTTTCCGAACCGAGATCGCTGTCGATTTATGTTAATTTGGACGAGCCGAAGCACCCTGTACCGTTACGGCATGTGGACGCACGAAAGAAAGAGAGAAAGAGAAAGAGAAAAAGGAGACTCTATAAATGTCGGGGAGAACTCGAGGTGCTTCGTGTTTGCGTAACGGCATGTATCGGCACGAGCGCGTGAAGTCCGATCGCAACGCATCCGATTCGACCGAAAAGCAAAGAATTCGATCAGTACACGAGGCGTACTGAGCAAAGAAAGGGGAGGGATATCAATTCATCGTTCTCCATTCAGCTCTCAGTGAAGCGAGCCGCGTTTCTCGAATGATTCATCGACCGATAGGAGAAATCAAGCTACTGCTTGGGAATATCTCAGTAAGCAAAATGCGTTAGATTAACCCGAAATATTGATCTCATATGTATCTCTTGAACAGAATGAAGGAGAAAAAGAGATATTTTCGCTCGATATTTTGAAAATATTTCGAGGATATCGTGGAATGTGTTACGATCTCCTCGAATATCTCAGAAATGTTTTGGAAATATTGAAGTGCTCAACTTACTTGTAATAACGTTGTTGCAACGTTAAAAACTACATGTCAGAAAACGTTATATGCTATTGAACGTCGTTGCAGTAACATTCTACCAATGATCTTTTATTGGAGATGCAACTCTAGAGAGATAAGCTTCTTTCTAACGGATAAAGCTAAGAAGCGATCTCCTTTATCATTTCCAGACTTCATTTTGAATTGATTGCCTCCTCCCGATTTCCGACAACTCATTAGTCTTTCTCCCTTTTGAGATTCCTCCAATTGACTCGGAAAGTAATGCAAAACGCTCTCACCACCGAGTATATCCTCGATGAATCGCTCCAAGTAGTCGCCGTCGTCATCGTCGTCGTCATCATCGTCGTCGTCGTCGTCGTCGTCGTCGTCGTCGTCGTCGCCGGTGATGTCTAGATCGACGTCGTCATCGTCGTCGTCGTCGTCGTCGTCGTCGTCGTCGGAGACGGGCGATGCTGCGGGCGACTGCCTGCCGGTCTCGACGACATTCTGCGTCGACACCTTACTGTCGACGATTTTCGGCACCGGCGAGGCGAGCGTCCCTACCGCCAGACAACACAGCAACGTCAGCACTGCCACTAGTCTCATGGCTCTGTAAGGGGAAGAAAAATCGAGATTAATAATCCGAAGTCGAATCGACCGAGAATCCTTCTCCTAAGCAGAGCAGAAAATCACGATGAATTTCTCGCCAGAGTGACGAGAAAATGATTGGGTCATAGCTGAGAACCCTTATAGAAATATCATACTAAGAATCATTGATAATCACTTATTTTCAGTATTAAAAATACTGGATAATAAGTAATTATCAATGATTCTTAGTATGATATTTCTATGAGGGAAGCGAGTTCTTTCGGTCATCCTCTCGTCACTTTGACGTGGTCGTCTGTTCTGTCTAGGATTCATTATCCAGAGCCCGGAACAGTCGCAACTCACGCTCGCACGGATGATCCGCTACGTGGACGCACGCGACTCGTTGAGCGTTGGAGCGACGAACGCGTTACGGTACCCCAAGCGGAGCTTCTTATCGACTTTTTATCGACTTTTTATCGATTTATAAGAAGTCGCACCTGCAAGCCCGTATCAGACTATGGTTCGTGTTAATAGCCCTTATCTGAGATCTGTCTCATGCGAAACCTGAAGTGGAGTTAGAGGTGAGTTTGAATCATAGCGATGTATTCGTAACGCTATATTTGTAATTGTGGCTCAACTTTGAATAATTTTCATCTAACTTTACATTCAGATTCGAGTGTCTTCCTTGAGACAAGTCTCAAATAACGACTATTAATACAGATCTAATAGTGAAAAGGTCAAGGATTACAGACTGAAAATTGGAGCCTGTTCGGGATTAGTTAATTCGTCCATCCGTTAATTGGAGCCCAAACTAAATAATTGATCGAATACTGATTTCTAATTTGCAATCATCGATTGGCTAATCCGACTTGGGCTTTGCAGAGTACACGAAGCTTATCAGTACGTGTTCCTCTTCGCACTTTCGCCATTATTCTTGACTGCGAGGGACACGCGAGCAACTTTAGTGTCGAAAGAACTGCGAGCGAATGTGATCTTATATATTTCCTCTCTCCGTTATCTTTCACCAATATCATCGAGATATTACGTCTCGCGGAGGTAGAACTCGCGACAGGGCACGCGATATCCGAGGGGAAATTGCACGGGAAGACGAGTACGCACAGCAAATATACTCCGCGAATATATCACACGAAGAGTATCGGCTGCCTCACTAATACCAGCGTCGTGCACTTGTATGTTTATCACTCAGCCGCCGCGAGGATCGATCCTCTTCGATCGAAGCGATCGCTTCGACTCGAGGACCCTCCCAGCTCCGCTGGTGCGACAATCAAAGTCGCTCGTGGATGTCCTTCGGGACCGGGAGTCGACTTCACCGTTTCGACAACTCCTGGGGGACGAACGGCACTATTCTGTCCACTTGCTGCGTATCCGGGCGCAGGATTCAGGATCCTTCGGAGACACTCACCTCTCTCACTCGCTCCTTCCTCTACGTCCTTTCGGAGGGTGCAGCCCGCGAGAGATCCCGATGATCCTTCCTTCCTTCCTTCCTATCTTCCTGCCTTCTTCCTTCCGACGATCGACGACGATCGTTGTGCGTGTCCTACGTCCGATTGATCGACCGAGCGGCCCGGTGAGAGTGTTAAAACAGACGAGGCGCCGCGACGCGACCCTTTTATACCGGCCTGCCTCCACCTCCTTTCGTACTCCTTCGTCGTCCTCCTTCTCGTCGTGCTTTCTTCTTCCTGCGTTCGCGCCGTACTACTACTACTACTACCACCATCTCCGGCTCTCCTCCACGTGGCCGATCCGCACGTTTTCTCCCTTTCGTGACGGGCGTGTGCGCGCATTGTGCATAGATAGATGGGTGATACGCGTAGAAGCAGATGACTAGAAGATGAGAGGATCGATCGCGCAGGACCGCGCGAGAGAAACCGGCGTGAACTCTCCGGCGGCGTGTTCGGTCTCGCATGTCGCATAGTCGCGAATGAGACTATGTGGAAGAGGATTTCTCCACGGGTCAGGATGGAGATCGTCCCGTCCTGCTGCCAGGCTCGCGAATGTAGGCGATATGGAGCAGAGAGCGAGAGTGGGCTTTGAGGAGGAGTCCTCGTCCTTGATCCCTTTCATTTGCGACTGAATCCTTGATGATAGCGCATACTTATACGCGTTTCAAACCACTTGTGATCTCAGCGGCAACTTCAGGACAACAAAGACGTCCGTTCTGCTAGAAATATAAATTATATTATTGTCGGACAAGGAGTTGTTTCTCTTTGTCTTCGCTTCTTTTAAGTTTCTCTTCGTTGCATTTACATCCGTTATTTTGTATTATCACGGCATTAAATACCACACGGTATACCATTTTGTATACTAGATTCATTGTTGCATTCATTTTATGCGTGCAATAAAGAGCACAATAGTATAAAAATAATATTTGTGAGATGGTACGCAGGAAGAGGAGAAATACTTATTTATTCGCGGGATGTAAAGCTCTTCCATTTCTCTGCAAGATGACGCTTATTTCTTTAAAATGAAATCTTTCTGCGAGCAAACTTGATATATCCCGCGGAATAAATTTTCAAGTATTTTCTTTTCAGCGTAATTATTGCAATTGACGCTGAGTGCCAGATCCATTAGCTATTAACTATTGCCGTTCGTTCGCTATGCTTATCGTTCGCGATCTTCATTGTGAATCTAACGAGTGGATTTTAAGCCGAAAGACTCAAATTGCTAATTGTCATATCGGTCGGACGATCAATAACTGATCTCACCTCTTCCGGGTTACAGAAATCAGGAGCAGGATTCGCCGTGGTGACTCCGACGGAAACGAAACGTTTCGTTCCTCGTAAATGAGGAGCGAAAGCAACGCACTCGATCATCGTCGGGCGGATCGATCGTCTAACTGTAAATACTGGGCGACTTCCTCCTGCGGACGGCGCAGCTACCGACGGATCACACCGCCAGCATCCGCCCTGTCTAACGCCCGGAGCGACCGCGAATTTTTGCGCGATACATTCCAGTTTCTCGGCCGGACGATTTCACGCCTCGAGACTACTTCCGATGATCTTCGCGCTGGTATCCTCGCTGGTCCTTTCCCCGTTTGACGTCCGCCTCGTTACTTATCCCATCGAGTCGCCAGTGATCTTCGTTCTTTTTCTTTCCCTAAAAAGTTATCCTCGTTAGATTCGTATTTGTTTCTATTGCATTTGTGAGTGATGAAGTTTTCTGTCTCTCTCTCTCTCTCTCTTTCCTTCTTTCTCTCGTGATTTTCTCGCGTTGGTTGCATCTCTCCTTCCGTGAAACACTTCAATTCCCGAAGATATCTCACTGAGCACTCGAGAGAAATTATTTTTTTCCGTCGCTTCTCCTTACGGGAATAAATAGAACCTTCGCCAACAGATAATGATGTTCCATTTCTACCATCATTACGATACGGATCTGCAGCGCGATAATGGAGTGCGCGATTAACACGACGACGACATGACACGGATCTATGAAGCGTCCGAGATAATAGAGCTCGATTAGCTCCGATTAATCGCGACGTCGATCACTCGCAATTGCATCGCGCTTCAATTTCTCTCTCCCTCTCTCTCTCTCTTTCTCTTTCTCTCATCACAATTACGCTGCAATTGTCTTAGCCGTGCAGCATCTCCGTGTGTGCTACTTACTGTTGCCTAATTTGTTCTAATTACACGAAACAATCGATAAGTGTGTTATCTATTATTTTTATAATTGGATTATGTACTTCTGCTTAATTTGTTCTCTACGCCCACTGCAAAATAAATCATAGTGACATCACAATGAACTCACAATATCTATTGTCACTGTGATTTATCTTGCTTTGGGGGTAATGACACGAGACAATCGGCACATGTGTACTAATATTTGTTGTTTATGAGATTGCATTCTTGTTGTCATATTATTATCCTATTATTATAATGTAACATTATTATAATATTATATTATTTTTATATTATTACGGAAATATTTTCTTCGACCTTTGTCCTTGCATAAGAAATTTTCAAGCAACCACACGTGTGAGAGTCCAAGCAATTAACATTGGCATCATATTTTCTCCTATTGGAAAGAGATATCTCGGTGGTCCCCTTTCCTAGAAAAAGAAAAATTCAAGTTCATGACTTTTTCCAAGGTGAAACTTAACAAGAAAACAACAAATTTGTTGTGACTAACCGATATCTTAGCGATAAAGACACCCTGTATAAGATCTGATGCGAATCGGTCGTACGATCATCGGAGCTGTCTTGGTCTCGACTCTCCATTCGGCTGGAATATGGGATTTGGTGTCACAACCAGGCAGGGAAGTAGTCCGCGGCTACGTGAATTAGTAATCAGGATGTGTGTCTCGCGAGTGGCGAGCGCATTTTCGTGTGCGTTGCGGAGGAGAAAGAGGAGAAGGTGGGGGAGGGGGTGAAGGAGGAGGAGGTGGGGAAGTCGAGCAGAAGCGGGTGAAAGAGAGAGGAGAGAGAGAGAGAGGGGAAGGAGAGAGAGAGAGAGGGCGTTAATAAAAACGAAGAGGAATGACGTGACTAAGCGAAATGAACAATGCCTTGCAAATGTCCACATTCGCGCATTCCTCGCGGTGTCGTAGTCGTCGAGTCGCGACTGCCATTCATTATTCAGAACGTGGAGAATCATGCGCTCTGTCCTCGAAATCGGTAGCCGAAAAACCGATTCGAGCGCGTGCGAGCGTGCCGCTCCAGAGTTTTGAACCTGCACGGATTGTTATGCAACACAACGTCCGGATGTATGGACGATGTATTATATTCGAGAAAAATACCTTTAATTGACAATTTATGGGAACCATCCTGTTATTGGGGAATAAAGAAGTCGTCTAATTCGCCGCTGGGTTGTCTGATTTTGAAAAAAAATGCCTCAAGATGCCTATTTCGTGTTGGCTGACTTATTTGTGTGTTAATATACTTGAAAATAAAATTACGTCTGGCTTATCGTTGAGTCGTACTACGACCTCGTTTTGGCATTAAGTAAAGTGGCGGCTCGTAGCGGGGAATTTGGTTGGACTTTAAGTCTAAATAACTTTTTGAGATTGTAGACTCGTTATTTTTCGATTGATTGATTTGTCTAGCGCCATCTAGCGGCGTCGAGAAAAAGCTCGTTATCAAGTAAAGTTTCAGTCGGTAAAAAAGAGCTACATAATGAATCTACATAATTCTTAAGGTCGTTTTACATTAGTTGCAAGTCGATTGCAACTCATGTTGCGACAGTCAGAAACATCAATCGCACCATTGATGTTTCTGATTGGCTGTCGCAATAAGAATTGCGTTTGCTTGCGATCGACTTGCAACTAAAATCAAACTATAAATACCGGTCTTAGATTTGTAGTTCCAAAGTCCCCGCTACAAGCCGCCACTTTACTTAATGTCGAAACGAGGTCGTAGTACGGCTCAACGACAAGCCAGACGTAATTTTATTTTCAAATATATTAACACACAAATAAGTCAGCCAGCACGAAATAGTTTTGAGGCATTTTTCTTCAAAATCAGATAACTCTTAACGATGAATTAAACAACTTCTTTATTTCTAAATAGCAGTTATTTTTTACCGAAAAATCGAGACAGTGGTACAAATCAACGATTAATTCAGTGAATCTTACGTCCAAATTGTATGGTCCCTAATAGCATAGATATTCAGGAGACATCCAGAATACGTCCTGAGAACGTCCTGAGAACGCTTCTATGTCCTCAGAACATCTCTGGGACCTCTCCAGGAGATCTTGTGCTGCATCCAAAACTCTTGAATTGAACAATCTTTGTATTTTCAAAAAATATGATGAGACAATTAATTGGACATATTTTACATAATGTTAATAATTCAGGAAAGAGAGAGAGAAAGAAAAAGAGATGAATTATGAATTGTTATATTTTCCAAGGAAACTGATCGATCTCAATTACTTCATATGAAAATTCTAAAAGGTAGTAATTTAGAAAAGTTCTGTTATAATAAACAAAAATGTGTGGTTTTCTTTATATTATAAAAATTTATTTTTAAAAATTTTATTGTAACTGTGATCGTAAGGGCCACAAGCTTCCTAAAATATGTGATTCAAATACATTCATTCTAAAACAATTTGAATTTTACAAATTTTCGGTGTCAGCCATTTGTTTGTATTTATACGCGCGCGCGTATGTTATGTGTATTATGTATTAATGTATAGAAGGCTAAGTAAGGCCTATATTGCTAACCGCGTTTTATCTTCAACAGTGTTTTACAAATTTCATGAGAATTTATTTCTTCATTATTTGTATGACATCCTCATCATGCATCACATGTTGCACTCCCACTCTTTGAGGTGAATATTTGGTACTTGTACCCTGGAAAATACACGATTCTCAATATAAAAAAAATATTGAATAACACAGTATACAAACACACACAAACGTCCATACACTATTATTATATGTGTATGAATACACATCTTACCCAGACAAGGGCATATTTGAATTGTTGAGCCAGTGTACGATGAATAGCGTGACACACGTGTTCGACGGTGACTCCCTTTCTCAATATTAAACCATCGTCAAAGTCAGGTGGCTGCCCAGGCTTTTTTGTATATACCCTAATCAAGCACAGATACTCCCACAGCGTCTCCAATAAGAAGTCGAGGTTTAGCTTCATGTTACAACTGTGAGAAAAAGAGAAAGGACAAGATTAGATCAAATCAAACCAGTGTACTCACGAGAGCATAGAAAAGAATCTTGTAAAAATGGCAAATTCCAGAGCATACTCTACCTAACTACAACACTATTGGGTTGCCTAGCGATTCGATCAACTTCCTCTATCGATATTTGATCTATTTTGTTATATACATAAAGGCAGGGCAAGTATACTCGGTTTGCGTTGATGACGTCTATCAGCTCGTCCGCGCTGCAGTCCTCGCGAAACAACACCTCTGCGTTGAAGATCTTATATTCGTGCAAGATCATCTGGACTAATTTCTCGTCTACCTTTGTGAGAGGACACGTCGAGTTGAAAGCCAACCCACCACCTTTCTTCACTTTAAAATATATATTCGGTTTCTTTTTGTTCAATCTGATTCCAACTGATTCCAGCTCCTTCTCCAGGAGCTGACGTTGAACATCCTGCTTGGTTGCATCCAACATCATGAGGACTAAATCTGCTGTTCTAGCAACAGCTATTACCTGTCTACCTCGTCCTTTTCCCTAAAAGGATGCAAATATATTAGATTCCCTTAAAAAATTTTCATAGCTCAAAGAAAAAAATCAAGAACTATTGAATCGTAACAGTCCTTTAACTCATGAGTTTCTTTTACCTGTGCAGCTCCTTCTATAATACCAGGCAGATCCAACAACTGTATATTGGCACCTTTGTACTCAATAACACCAGGGATACATGTCAAGGTAGTAAATTCATAAGACGCAGCCTCTGATTCAGTATGCGTCAAGGTACTGAGCAGAGTAGATTTGCCGACTGATGGGAAACCGATGAGCGCGACTCTAGCATCTCCGGACTTCAGCACATCGAAACCTTCACCTTTCTCCGACTTCTTCGCCGGCTCCAGCAGCTGAGATCTGTACTTGGCGAGTTTCGCTTTCAGCAAACCCAGATGGTATTCGGTGGCTGGCAAATTGGTCAAACGAGTCTTATTAAGATTGAATATTTATGAATGCTCGAGCTCTTGCCTCGAATGTGTTCTAATTTCTTATTTATTTCAGTGACATATCATAGATAGTGTTACTAATGAAATAGGTTAAGAAGCACAACATCGAGACGACGCTCACCCTTGTTTTTCTGCGTTCGCGCAATTTCCTTCTCGATCTCCGAGATCTTTTCCAGTATCCCCATCGCGACTGCAAACTTCTTACATTTACAAAGGAATCACAACAGGCAGTCTCGCGCAACGTGCACAACGATGATCACGACGATCTATGACAGCTGTGTCTAATGGGACGTTCACATCTCCGATCTGTGTACACTCAGACGTCATATGTACGTTTACATAACAATTAAGGTTAGCTTGCAATTAATTATTTCAACCTCACGATTAATGTGCTGCGAGGAATCTATCCCGGAGTATTGAATAAATAATACTTCGATAAAATAAATATACGACATATACTGATGTACACTAAAATAAAATATGTCTGTTCGTTTCAGCTGTACTTTTGCACTTCTTCGTTATCTCTCTCTTTCAAGTCAAGTACAGAAAGTGCAACATGGTACAGCTGAGAACAGAGCTAACATTGGTCTGTTCTTTTCAGCTGAAAAGAACAGACCATATGACAACTCGACTAAGGACCGGTTTCAACTTCTTGGTAAATTAATTGATAGTTAAATCGCATGTCTGTCTTTGTTTTTCTTTCAATTTAGACAAAGACAGACATATGATTTAACTATCAGTTAATTTACCAAGGAGTTGGAACAACTAATCCTTAGCATGGCAAATTTGTATAAAATATAAATAACAGAATGACTCGCACGTCTAATATCAAATTGATCGTTAGAGAAATATAATTTTAAATCATTTAATCCTCTCTGTAGTCGCAAAATGCAAGTGCGAAATTCTGTAGATATTCAGTGGTAGGACATGCATGTTAAATTGCTAGGTATTATTTATTAAATGAATACAAAGTACTATTACTATACTACTACTACTACTGCACACTATACTACGAACACATAGACACGTATAAGTAGTTGAGCTTATTTAGATTTGTATTATTTTTACTTGCAGTCAACACTTTTCATCGTTACCTTATGTAGGTAATACTTGTAATAGATGCAACAGTTAAATAAAAAGAATCTAAGTATGAACGACATTACTTTTAAATATTGTCAGCTTTGTTCAGTTCGAGTGATCAAATATTGATTACTCGCGAGAGCGAAAATATTAATCAGGATTTCATTTATTCAAGGAGTCCTCTGTACCGTTTTTAATTCCGCCGTACATTTGCGTTCTCGAGTCGAGTTGCAGCGGGCTCGATTCGTCCTGCAACTAACAGAAACACCTCGTCAGAACACAATGATAAGGAATGTCCCCCTAACGTATTTTTAAATCCTTTAGATGTACTTTAATATGAGAACAAGAAGCTGTATTTTATAACTGTAACTGTTGCAAAAGCAAAAATTTATAAGCAGCGAATGACACGGAACATATCGTGACGCGTTGGCGTTGAATATAAATATATATCGCAAGCACTAGCATAATGCATTATTAAGCGATGCCATAATCACCTGAATGACCTTATCTGAAATTACAACGCAAAAGCGAATTTATAATGGCGGAATTTAAAGTGTATCTTACATAAGCGATATCTATGACACATAACAGAGCCCGTGTATATTAATAATACATGCCTACTTGTAAATTAATCATCATTATTAAGCGCATATACTTACAAATGCCCAATGATCGCTCAGAGAATCAAAGCATAGCCTATTTATCCCAAGTAAACTTGTCGCTAGACATAAAGAGCTTCCTCCTTTGTATCCTAATATCTTTCTTTTTCTCGGCGCTTACGTGAATCCGTAGTAGTAAATCAAGGATACAGCGTGTGATTCGTAATTCAATAATTTATTACCTACTACCGTACAACTTTATCGAGCACGCGGCTCGCACGAGACACGCTTCGCGAGACGATGGTAGACGCGAGGAAAGACGAGTTTTGCGTAATTGACATGTTTACCGGAATCGTAATACATAGCACAATTTCATTCAAGGAGCGTAGATAAGTAGGCGCAGAGTCGCTGAGAATCATTAGATTAATCGTACAGCATTGGTCTCGTTAACATGATCCCAACCTACTTTTCGTATTATTTGTGCTACCTCTTAACACGATTAGAAGTGTATATGATCTAAGAGAATGTGAACACGGTCGCATCTAAGGAGTTGATCGCGAAATCGTGATCAATCAAATTCACTTGTCACAATTCATCAACAAACATAATTTATCACGGTCCAGCTCAGCTGGCTCAACACGTTCACGACGACGTTGGTTGTTTCGTTGGTCTTAACTTTGAGGCGTAAACTGATTTTCTTCTTAATAAGCTTATATTTGGAATAATCTGATTATTAGTCTCCCGATCTGGAGGATCCGTATCGTCGGTAGCGCACAACTCTATATGTACAATATAGAAGCCTTATATGAGAACAGAAGCCTCGAAAAGTAACGCTCGCATTCCTGCAAACATGATGATATATTAATGACGATTAGATAAATACGTATGAATGACATTATCATGTTTGCTAGAAGTTACAAGACGTTACACGATTACATCATGTTCGTTGGGAACAGTGATATATATATAAAATAAACAGTACGAAATATGTCAAGTGGACACGTCGTCGTGAATATGTTCAAGATAAACTTATTAAATGTATCGTATATTAAATATACGAAGTAAATATATCAGCACAGTGTCCCAAACACCTCAACCTTAATTTCTATACCAGACATTTTTATAAATTCAAGTTGAGAATTTCACAGAAAGAGACTTCGGTTTCTTTCCTTCTAATTTAAAATTTTATATTTCGGGGAAAAAACATTAATTAATGATATATAGAACAAATTAAAATTGAGGTCGGAACTATTTCTATGCATAACAATGTATATACGTGTATATAGTTTGTTATAAAATAAATAAAGATTTTTATATATATCAATATGCAAATGTGTACGCGGTTTTCCCCCTAGGGAGGCTCAAATACTTTTAATTAAACAAATCGCCGACGTACACTTAAGGATTTCTAGAGCACCATATATTGTCTACACTAATTAAATACGTGTAGGATTAATTACACGTATGCACTTTCGACAGGAATCGAGTGCATAAGAGGTCGTGAGTAGAAAGTATAGTCTATCACCAACAACGAGTAACCAACTGTAAAAGGATCTGACTTTACTATATATATATATATATATATATATATATATATATATATATATATATATATATATATATATATATATATATATATATATATATATATATAT